ACCGCGCTACACCAACCCCACTGCACCATTTCCAATCGTACGACTGAGGCTGAGCAACAATCGAATGAATCTTCCACTACAATATGGGTAGATTCATTCGCTTTTCCTCAACCTTCTCCACCTCCTTTCTTCCTGTCCGCCATCTCTCACACGAGCCTTTCTCACTAACTCCTAACTTGCTAATCTCCTACTTAATCTAACCGCAGTTTTGAGGCCGCCCGCCTTCGAAGCCCCCAAACTGCCTCTTTCCCTAGTCAAAACCAGTCCCGAACGAGCAAGATATGCTCGTTTCCCCTTCACCTTGCCATATCTCCGACACACTCTCTCTTACTAACTTTCATTTTACTAACCTTTTGCTAATTTTGAGCCCGGATTCGGGCTCGCCCACCTTCAAAACCGCGGTTTGGGCATTCTCGCCCCGATTTTTTCATCCCCCTTCTACTCTCCCCGCTCCCTCCGGCCTAACGCTCATCTGCTCCGCTGTCTGCTTCACCCGCTTCCCAGCCTTAAGGCTCGTCGCCTGTCAGCCCCCTGCCGCAGCACCCGGTCACACACCGCCCGATAAGATGTTCAACAGCTCCAGCTATCCTGAGGGGAACTTTGGAAGGAACCTGCTACTAGCCGACGGATTGGTCTCTCTGGCCCTATACCCAAGTCCGACGAATGACTCTCACGACGGTACCGCTGCGTGCCCCCCTCCCTTTTGCCTGAGCTCGCATCCGACACATATTTACGCCCAAATTCAGCCCCCTTGCTTACCTATTCCCCGTTGCCTGTCCACTCTGCCGCGGCTACCTGGTGCGTTACTCACCCTGACTGGCGGTTGCCCGGTGCCGCCCGACCGGACTCACGCCCGTCACGTGCTGGGCCCATAGGGGGAGGGGACTGAAGGGGAAGCATAGTGACTGGCCTATCAGGGAGGCTCGGGCCTGATGCTACCGGCTGACCCCTGGATGGCACCGCCCACCGGGCGAAGCAGGGATTGCCCCTGCCGGCCGGTGCGGCTTCCACGTGCTCCCTCATTGGAGAGCTGGGCCCGAGAGTGGCTGCTACGGGTTTTTCTGCTACTGCAACACACCCCCACACTGCCCCGCCGCACTTGAGATAAGGACAAATAATAATAAAAATTAAAATAATAATCACGAAAGTTTCAGAACTAGAGCCGCCCGGCAAAAAGGCGGAAAGGAAAAATATTAAATATCGCCCTCGGCCCTGCCGCGCAACCCCACGGACCGCAAAACGACGGGGAATAGCCTTTCCCGCTCCCAACCCCGCGGCCCCTCCTCGCCACTTTGATACTCTCGCGTCATTGCCGCTCGGTTTCGATCCCTAAATCTCCCTGCCGTAACTAATAGCGCTAGGCCCAAATCTGGGTCTAGCTTTGGCGGACGCCTAAATAAACGGACACTGCGCGACGCGCCAAGCTACCGAAACGCCTTCAGAAGTCACATTGTTGTTGATGCCGCCTTCCGTACGTACGCACAAGTCACACTCAAGCACATCAATCAACGAGGCATAATCTTTTTAACCCCTGTTTAATCAGAAGAGAAATTCTGGCCGGCGATCACGCCGACTCGTCAATCATCAACAAAAATAAAAGGATCACGCGCGCCTTAAATCCGCGTGCCCACACACTCTCTATTCTAGTCAACCACCCAGCCAACACAAGCCGCAGACGCAGCCGCGCCTCGCGCGGCATACTTAAACTTTGAACCAAAGCTATTCTCTGTCACTTGCAAAAAACAGGGTGAATACCCTTGTAAGGGTATTCGCGCTGACCGCGATGAGAGGCGAGGTGCAGCACGTGCGGTCGTGCAAGGAAGAAGGGCATTGCTGAGGGCAGCGCCATAGCCCAGCCACCATAGCTGGTGGGCCTGGACTACAGTGAGGCGCAGGGGTGGTCTTCGGGTGAAAGAGAGGACAGGTGTGGGTGTAGTCAGGGGATAGGTGAAGGATGATGATGATGATGATGTGAAGGCACTTACCTTGTATTGGCGATGGTCTGCATGGGCGACATCTTCAAGTACTTTGGGCTGCGGCTGATGTCAACAGTTGCATTGTCTTTTTGTAGTCTGTAGTAGCTGTGTAGGAGTAGGCTGGGCGCTGAGCGCCAAGTGTGAGTGTGAAGGAACTGGACTCTTGTGTTGGGAGGAGAGAGTATGCTCTCCATGAACATTGGTTTTCAGTGCTACGAACCTCCATTGGTGTATTATTGGTGCAATGCTTCTCTCTGGACACGGTGTGACTATTTGGCTTTCAATGTGATGGTGTGATCTGGAATTGTCATCTCGTTGTTACTTATTTTCCTTGCAACTATGTCCTTTCCTCTCAGATTACCCATAGTAACCTGTCATATAACTCATGAATATCAAGAAAAGACCTTAGCACCCTCCTTGCATTGTAATGTGGTCCCTATTGTTCCCCTCTGCCATAACTACATTTGTATTCCCTTGACTTGTGCCAGACGTAGCTTGAATCTCTCTTTCCGGCAATGTTTTCCGAGTGTTATCTCCTTAAGCCCTAAACCCTACTTCCTTAAACCTTTAAACCTACCTGTATTCCTCTAGAGGTCTGCTTACTTTGCAGACTCATTAAGTTGTAGTATCATTACCTGAAATCTTCCTTTTCTTCTCATTGCCAATAGTCTCCAATGATCCTTTGCCGTGAACCCTTCCCTTTCATCTCATTGCCATTAGTTTCTAAAGTTGCCTTGCTTCTTGCTATGGTCTGTCGTTTGCGATTCTGTCTTAACCTGTGATCCTTCGCTTGCACTTCACTCTTGACCTTCGCCTTTCTAAGCTTTGACTTCCCTTGTTCATGGTGAAGCCAGTTGCTGTGTCTGCCCCTGGTGTCCGTTTGCCATGTCTTGTTGGTCTTCTTGAACCAACAGAAGATCAGCCTGTGCCCCTCCATTATGGCTACTTTACCTTCGACCAATACTTTGTTGTGGAATTTCTTGAGAATGTCCTTCGCCTTTTCAGGGCTAGCCGCTGCCTATTTCTTGGCTCGCTGCCAATGAGCTATAATGTCGTCTGTAGCAGATTATGTAGTGTTGCTCTAGCTTCCATTCTAGTTGACGGGCTTTTACCTATCACTTGTTGGCATCTTCTTTTCCATATTGTCTCAGTAACTGGTAAATGCACTTATGGTTCGAGTTCCAACCTATCGGGACTTCAGCTCCTGTGAGATGGAGTCTTTTGCTCCTTGGGAATGAAAGTTCTGTGATGCGATCCCACAGGGTTCGAGCTATAGACCAAACATACTCCACTTCCGGGCAGAGCAGAAGGCAGTGAAGCAGTGTTTCGGGTACTCCTTCCGTGCACATGATGCAGTTTTGCTCTCTCACATCTCTGTTGTTCCTGCTTCGTTTTTCGTACAGCCAGGCGTTGACTGGAAGTGCGACATGAAATATGAGCCACTGCATACTTCGGACTTTATTCAGCTTGATGCTGTGCAAAATCGACCACGGCAATTTTCCTATTTGCCGTCTTGGTATTCCCACCCTCTTTTCCCATCTCACTGCTAGGGATTGATCCTTCTTAGTTGGTCTCTTTCTTAACCTATATCCCCATTTAGTAGTGTAGTGGAGTACGTTAACTCTCTTAATTGCTCTTGACCCATTCCCTTTGATGTTCCATACCCAATGTGCTGGATCAATTTCCAGATCTTGGATAGGTGTTGTATGAGCAAAAATTGTGAACTCGTCAGTCTCGATCACCCTGACTTTCGTGAGGAGACTTTTATTGATGGCTATTGGAACCCGTGTCTCTTTGTCCAATAGACTAACCATAAAGCCTGGGTTCAGTATTGGATACATGTCTGCCTCCAGCCAGTGATTGGTTGGGCCTACCTCCTGGTGAATGCGGAACGCGTGATCTGGTTTCGAGCTTGAGGTCCAAGTTGCCCAGTCACCCCAGCCCCATTTGAACGGGCCCCTCCATATTTGTGTCCATGCTTGGGGTATGGAGGTAAGCACTTCATTCAAATTCTCGGTTAGCCTGTGACAACCTTTCATTTCCTCTCTCATTTCCCTCCCCGTTTTCCACCTATTGTGAGTTGGTGACCATAGATGCTTTACCTGCCATACCCCATGCTCCAACCAATTCCCCCACTTGGCGTCCTTTGTTGTAAGTGTTTTAGGTTTTCCTTGAGAGTCCTTCAACCATGGGTTACAAAACAAAGGCTGCCTAAGAACTTCCTCTTTCGTTCCTGGGTCTCTTACTCTTGTCGGGAAGACTTCGGCCCATATCTTTAGGATGTGGGCCCAGTATGAAGATCTGGCGTCGTTTTCCCCTCCCCCCTGCGCTCTTGTTATTCCCTTCTTGGCCCAACCTTTATAGAATAACCAGAACGTGCCCTCCATGTTTGGTGGAGTTGTGTATCTCACCATCCCCCGTTTTTTCTCGCTATTCTGTTGTAGCGCAACATCTGAAATTTCCATTTTCGTTTTCCTTCTGAAATTTCGAAGTTTCGTTGTTGAAAATTCGAAATATTCTTCTTTTCGAAAATTTCGATTTCCTGTTGCATTTTCCGTTATTTGAAAATTCGGAATATCTTCTTTTTCGAAATTCGTTTTTCTGAAAACGGTATGGGAAATCCCTCCTGCAGGTATTATTTTCCAAACTGTGAATACTCTTATCTGAGTAAGTCCGAATATTTTATTTCTTTTCGGAATTTTTTTTTTCCGCAGTTCTAGGATTCTGTCAGTCACTTCTATAAATCATTTGCAGTCTGAAGTCGAAATTTTTTTCTCTCATTGATCATTTCGCACTTCAAGGGAGGTTGGGAGACCTACTGAACTTGCAAAACTCGGGATTTTATTATTTCGATTTTTTTTTTGCAAAGTTCAAACTTTTCCTTTTTTTGATTAGTGGCTCTTTATCTGGGCGATTCTCCCCACCCACCCTCCCCACCTATGTTGTTGCCCCCTTTGGCCTTACCTTCTCTATCCATCTCCGGGTACCCCCTACGACGACATTGGTGAGTTGCCACGTCAGCAGACTACATCAGCAAAACACGCCAGCAAACCACGTCAGCAGGCCACGTCAGCAGGACACGTCAGCAGGCCACGTCAGCAGACTACGTCAGCAAGACACGCCAGCAGACCATGTCAGCAGGCCACGTCAGCAGGACACGTCAGCAGGACACGTCAGCAGGCCACGTCAGCCGACAGAGCAGGAAATACCATGTCAGCAGGCCCCCGGCCTGGTCTATGCTGTTGCGGTCACATACAGCCGTCGTGGACCAGAGGTTCGGAGAAGCAGACGAGGCCTATCAGGCCCGGATGTTGGCTTGGAGTACCGAAACAAAGAAACGGGCAGATGACGCAGCAGCAGCGAAGAAGAAGGCAGAGGACGCCGAGCAGGTACGTCTGCTGGCACTTGAACAACAGCGCCAGCATGACGAGGCAGCAGCAAGGGCTGCCGATGAAGAAAGAAACCAACGTCTTAAGAAGATATTTAGCGGAGAGCAGACTTTGCTCACAATGGCAGCGGAATGGCGGACCGAGGCCGAGAATGGCAAGATGGGGGATAGCGAAAACAAGATCGCTCTCCTCCTCTCCCATCTCACAGACCTCCTGGCAACCTGTATTACACAGCAGGAGGATATCCACAGCCTCGACGACTCGCTAGCTCAAGTACAAGGCCGCCTCCAGCAGCTGGAACAGCGACCCGTCGCCGCCCCCGATGCAAGCTTTTCCAATACCCCCGATCGCCTCAAAGCATTGGAGATGGACGTCGGCTCCCTCAAGGACGGCGTGCAGTTACAGCAGACCGCAACGCAACAGTTGCAACAGCGGATTTGTACTACCGCCAACACCTCAAGTTCGGAACCGCGTGAGACAGCTCCAAAGTTTGACGGGCAAGAGATCTTCTGCGACTCGGCAAAGACAAATCTGATTCCATGGTTCCGCAAGTTCGAGCTCATGCTGCAGCTACACAACGTCAAAGAACACAAGCACCACGCATACTTGTACTCTCGCTCAGGGGGCGCGTGCCAGGCTTGGTTGGACAATCTCTTGTCCAAGTACGGAGTGGTAGCTAACGACTTGCACACCAAGATCAGCTGGGATGATTTGAAGGCGGCGTGGCACAAGCGGTTCCAAGTCGAGCCGCCGAAGATCAAGGCTATGGACAAGCTCATGGTCTTCGAACAAGGCACGCTGCCGAGTACCAACTGGATCGCCGAGTACCAACGCTTGACGTCAGTCCCAGACATCCAAATGGGTTTCAAAGCCATCCGCCACTATTTCATTTCAAGGTCATGTCCAGCATTAAGCAATGCCCTGACTCACGTCGAGGACACCTTGACGACAACGACGGAACTCTTTGACAAGGCCGCGCAGATCATCATTACGAACAAGGAGGCTAAGAACCTGCGTTCGTCTGCGGCAGGCCCGAGCAGAGACCAGCATCGACCAAGAGTGGTCGTGGTCGCGGCAGCAACGCCGTTTGACCAAACCAGTGAGGCCATGTCTGCCAACGAAGGAGACGGACTCGCAGCCACCCGGGAAGGTGGCCGCCCCGGCAGAGGCCGAGGACGCGGCAAGACGAAGACACACACCGCATCTAGCCCCGGGCCCGGAGCAGCAGCTCCAGCCCCTTGGTCCCAATATGGCATCTCCGAGCAAGCATTCAAGGCTCGCACGAGATTCCACTATTGCCTCTGGTGCAACAGCGATCTCCATGAGACACTGGCCTGCCCATTGAAAGGCAAGGGCAAACAGGGAAACCGAGCACCGCCGAGAGTGACTTGACAACACTCTCGACGCCTCCGGAACCGGTTTTTTCACGAGTAACCGGCCTTCATTCCGAGGCGCACACGGAAGTCGATAGTCCTCCTCTTACTTATTCTTTTGAGGACTATGCTGCCCGACTCGTTCCTACGCTGGGTACTCAAGCTCAAGGACAAGACGTGTGTGCGTTTTTTTCTCCGTCCGGCAGCGGCGACATATCGTCTTCAAGTGGTTCTTCACCGGAATCGACGAGCGAGTTCAACATAGAGGTATTGGACCCGCTCACGTCCGAGGACTTTGCATGGCTTCCTCTCACGACCACAGGCATCTTGCCGGGACCGCAATGCGCAGCACTATGCGCTCATCTCCACACTTACTTATCCTTCTATGCATCACCAACTTCGCCGACGGATGGCGAAGTCGCGGTGGGGGACATCCTTGCGTATACTACCAAGGTGGCCCGCGAGTTTCGCAGGCAGCGGTACGATGACAACAACGCACCGCTCATGTATGTGCGCATCCAGGTTGGGCAAGCGTCCTGCAGCGCTTTGCTGGATAGCGGCGCGTCTCGCAATTTCATGAGCCAATCATTTATGCAAAGGGCTGGCCTTCACGCACAAGTTCGGAGGAAGGCAAACCCGACGGTGATCAAGTTGGCGGATGGGAAAACGCAGCAACTTCTCGACCGATACATCGAGGCCGTACCGGTTTATTTCGCACCTCATGCATGCGAACCGGTGACGTTCGATATTCTCGACACGGACTTCAACATCATTCTGGGAATGCCTTGGCTTGCAAGTGCGGATCACACGGTCAACTTCCACCGGCGGACTCTTAGCGTTCGCTTCGGCGCCGAAGTGGCGTGTACTATTCCTCAACTGCACCCTTCGATTCGGTGCCAAGTGGTGACGACCAAATCATTCCGGGTGACTTGCGCTTACGAGCAGCCCGAGGAGATCGGCCTATGTTTCCTACGGACCGTCGCGGTAGCCGACGCTTCGCCCACGGACTTGTCTTTGAACCCCCCGGTGGTGCGGTTGCTGGACGAGTTCGCCGAAATCTTCGGGTCACCTACCTGTGTGGTGCCGGATCGGCCGATTTCTCATGAGATCATTCTTGAGGCCGGTGCCGTGCCGCCGAAAGGTTGCATCTATCGGATGAGCGGGGAGGAGCTTGAGGTCCTCCGCTCACAACTCAACGACTTGTTGGCCAAGGGCTGGATCCGCCCGAGTAGCTCCCCATATGGAGCACCAGTTCTCTTCGTCAGGAAGAAGAACAAAGATCTATGATTGTGTATCGACTACCGCAAGCTCAACTCGCAAACCGTCAAGAATGCGGGGCCTCTTCCTCGCATCGACGATCTTCTTGAGCGATTGGGCGGCGCAAGGTATTTTCGAAGTTGGATTTGAAATCAGGATATCATCAAATCTCGATCCGGCCGAATGATCGCTACAAATCCGCGTTCAAGACGCGGTACGGGCATTTTGAGTGGGTGGTCATGCCTTTTGGCCTCACCAACGCCCCGACGACCTTTCAAGCGGCAATGACCAACGAGTTCCGTGCAATGTTGGACCGGTTCGTGCTGGTCTACTTAGACGATATTCTCGTCTATAGCCGGACTTTGGAGGATCATCTTCAGCATCTTCGACGAGTGTTGAAGACGCTCCGCCACGCCAAGTACAAGGCCAACCGCGACAAGTGCAAATTTGTCCGGCAAGAGCTGGAATACTTGGGCCATTTTGTCACACCGGAGGGCATCAGTCCGCTATCGGACAAGATTCAAGCCATCCAAGAATGGTCGGAGCCTCGGAACGTCACGGATGTCCGCTCGCTCCTTGGTCTCGCTGGCTACTATCAGCGTTTCATCAAAGGCTACTCGAAAATCGCGTCCCACTTAACCAAGCTTCAATGCGAGGATCGGTCGTTTGACTTCGGAGAGGAGGCGCGGGAATCATTTTTGGCTCTCAAAGCCGCGCTATTATCTGCGGAGGTCTTGCGGCTATACGACCCGCTTTTGCCTACGCGCGTCACTACGGATGCGTCAGGCTATGGCACTGGTGCAGTCCTCGAGCAACATGATGGTGTGGACTGGCACCCGGTCGAGTATTTCAACAAGAAAGTGTCTGTCGTGCATTCCATTGACGATGCACTCAAGAAGGAGCTTATCGCCTTTGTCCATGCGCTCAAGCGGTGGCGGCACTTCCTCCTCGGTCGAAGCCAATTTCGATGGGTAACGGACAACAATCCGTTGGTCTTCTATAAGACCCAAGACACCGTCAACAGCACCATCGCCCGATGGATGGCTTTCATCGACCAGTTCGATTTCTTTCCCGATCACATTCCGGGGAAGTCGAACCGTTTTGCGGATGCCCTTTCACGGCGTCCGGATCATTGTACCGCGGTCTACTCAACCTTCGAGGTCGACGATGACCTGCGGAACAGCTTCATCCGCAACTACCAAGTCGACCCCCAGTTTCGCGACAAGTACGCGAATTGCTCCTCTCCTAATCCGGCACCTTCTCACTACGGGATCCAAGAGGGGTACTTGCTTGTCCACACGTGGGGGAAGGACCTTCTTTGCGTACCGAGTGATCCTCACTTGCGTATACGGCTTCTTGGCGAGTTCCACGATGCTCCCGCCACTGGACACTTTGGGGTCAATCGCACAATTGGCCGACTTCGCGAGCAATTTTGGTGGCCCGGCCTTCTCGGCGACGTCACACGCTATTGCGAGTCATGCGAGGTTTGCCGACGCTGCAAATCCCGCAACCATCGTCCGTACGGCGAGTTACGACCATTACCGGTCCCGTTGAGGCGAAGGGAAGAGATTGCCATGGACATTACCGGCCCGTTCCCCAAGCACAAGACCGGAGTGGATGGGATTCTCACGGTGGTCGACCGATTCACCAGGTTTGCCATGTTTTTGCCTTGCCGCTATCATGCCAAGGCACCGGAGTTGGCCGAGGTTCTTTACGCCGGTTGGATTCGAACCAAGGGTTACCCCAAGGAGATCGTCTGTGACCGCGACATTCGGTTCATGTCCGATTTTTGGTTGACGCTCATCAAGCGATGGGGCTCATCTCTCAAGCCCAGTTTAGCTCGCCACCCTCAGACCGATGGCCAAACGGAGAGGGCGCACCAGACCACACAGGTTCTCCTTCGCACTCTCATCCGTCCTGACCAGAAGGACTGGGTTGAGCGGTTGCCGGATGTCGAGTTGGCCTACAACTCTTCCATCCACCCGGCTATCGGGATATCGCCTTTCAAGTTCGAGCACGGCTCGCCGGTCACTTCACCATTGGATATTATCACTCCACGAACGGCCGAGAGCGACGACCATCTTCTTTTCTTGCGTCGAATGCAAGAGCTTCTTGTCAAGGCACGCGACCAGATGGCTAAGACACAGCAGCGCACGAGCCAGCAGGCCAATCGCCAGTGTCTTCCTTGCCCATTCCGCGTCGGCGACCTCGTTTGGGTTTCCGCAGCGGAATTCCGCCTTGAACAAGACATCTCTTGCAAGCTCCTCCCGAAATGGATGGGGCCTTGGTCGATCGTAGCACCCGCTGGAGACGCACCCAAGGGACCTTCCTTCACGATTCAGGTGCCCGCCCACTTGCCCGTGTACCCAGTCTTTCATTGCTCCAAGTTGGCTCTTTACACGTCAGCGGAACATGACGATTTTCCCAGGAGACGTTCGCAAGACCCACCCTCCGTGGATGGTTTTTAGGAGGTCGGCGACATCATCTCCCAGCGACGCTACAGTAACAGGCCAACCAAGTACTTAGTGCATTTTGCATATTGCACACACCGAGCTGACCTTTGGTTGACCCGTGCGGAACTTCAAGCAACAGCTCCAGACGTTCTCGCACACTACGAACGCAAGATGCAAGGCAAGCCTGTTTCTTCTACTCCACGCCGCGCCCGCGTCCAGGTTCCACCTTCAGATCGTCGGCATCGCCCTCGCCCCGACTTGACTTCATAAGGAGGGGGGGGTGTTACATGCGGCGCCTGCACACGAGGGCCATTTTCCAGGCCCTGCGTCCCTCAGGGTGAAAGCCTGAAAAACAGGGCCTACAGGCCCTGTGACTGTTCAACCCGAAAGCCTGAAAAGGGGCCTACAGTCCCTGTGTCGTTTCAGACTAAAAATGAGCCTTTTTAGCCTGAAACGAAGGGCCATTTTCGGTCGTTCATCAGAACAACCGGCCCTGAAACTCAGGCACCGAACCAGGGTTTCGGGAACAGGCTATTCTTAGCCTGTTCCCACGCCAGCCTCAACACCTGCTGCAGCGCCAGCCCCTGGCACACTTCGGCATTGGCAAGAGCAGCCTCCTCGGCCTGGCTCGCCTTTTAGGCAGTCAGGAGGCAGGCCGAGGTAGTACATAGGGACTTCCCATGCACTTCACGGGTAGGCAGAAGGCAGTAGTAGTCTTCAGGATTCGGCAGCAGCACTCTGGAGGGAGCGCTGCACGAGTAGTAGTAGCGTTAGCCTTAGTCTTCAGCGCTGGGCACAGTAAGTAGCTGTAGTCTCCAGCGTTGGGCGCCATAGCTAGGATAGCACTAGAGAGAGAGAGATTGGGCGGAGGCCTTGGGTACCTACCTGCAGTGTCGTTGCTCCAGGTTCGTCTTCGAGGTACCTGCAGCACAGCGCCAACTTCACAGGTTAGTATCTGGCTCGTAACAGAGAGAGAGAGTTCTTCTTCTTCCTCTTCTCAGTCCACCATCTCCCTCTCACCCTCTCATCATCTGACTTCACTGCATCAGCAGACTACGAGAGAAGAGAGAAAGAGCTTGGTGATATTGGATCCAGACTCGACTTTTGGCTTCAGACATGGCAATCGTCTGATCCCCTCCTCTTCGTCTGTGTATGTCTGGACCTGGCGCTTTCTTCCTGTGTACAGCGCCAGGCTCCTTCACACTTTGTGATGGACATGATGTATGTTTGGTCTGCGTTCAAACTGCAAGGAACCCGACTGTTATCACTTGCTGGAGTGCGCCAGATATCATGCATTCACACACATTACACAGAAGCGCGATGTCTCACACAAAGCTTCAATGAGAGAAAAACGTGACCAAGGAACTCAGCTCAGGTTTTTTTTTTTTTTTTTTTTTTTTTTTTTAATTTATTTGGACCATTTCTCGATTTATGCGTGTCATCCTTGCGCAGGGGCCATGCTAATCTTCTCTGTATCATTCCAAACTCAGCTCAGTTATAATGACCAGAATAAGAGAGTTTATCACGAGTTCAGAATGTACAGCGCCGCAACAGGATTGCAAGTCTTCCTCCTCCTTTGAACCGGCGTACAAAAGGTAAGCATCACCATAACTTTCACTCCCCTCTGTCCTTCCTCTCTCTCTCTCTGTATGTCTTCTCTCTCTCCCTTTGTACCAATGTGGTAGCCCTGGTCTTCCTTCTGCTCACACATCATCTTTGCACACTCCCTAACACATGAGGATCTACTCTGAATACTACTCACTGATGTACAAATTCTATCACCTCTACTATTAACACAGGCTGGCGCAGCTATGGCTGCTTCAGCAAGCCAGCGCCCAGCATCTCTCTCTCTTGCGCAGCATCAAGCCAGCGCTCTCCCTCTGCATGCTAGCGCACAAGTGCCTTCAGCACTTCCACGCATCAATGCTACTGGAGTTTTGTCGTGTGGGAGGCTGGTCTGCTCCTTTATACTAATGGCACGGCCTTGCGAGGCCTGAATCAGCCTCCCTTGGGACTCTTTCCCTATCCCAGGTTGTGTAGAGTGTGTCCCAGTACCTTTCCCTCAGGGTCTGCTGCTGCTGCGGCCTTCAGGCCTGGATTTCGGACTTGGGGCCTGTATCTAGACTCTCCCTCTGACTTAATTCGTGA